TGCTGCAATAATGTAATTCAGGATTATTTCACTGTCACTGTTTAATAATGTTCTTCTGGTGTTTTGTCAGAGTTCTGCTCAGGGGTGTACTTTTACCCTGTCCGATAATGGGTGCCTTGCGTTCTTCTTGTGTAAGGTTTACAATCCAAACCAGTCCATTCAAATGTTTCAGTTCATTCATTAAAATATATATTTGCCATGTTTACAGTATTTGACACATCTATGTTCATGCTGTTGTTATTTACATGTTTATACGTTTGATCATTTACATCAGCATCTTTAAGAAGATGTGCTGAACCTCTGTGTTTCTCACACATTTTAAATGTATGTCTTTTTATTGAAAAATAAATACAAACCTTAAAGCTTATCAAGTATCAAAGTGGACATCAGTGTTGAAACAGTAGAGAGAGAAAAGAAAAAAAAATAACAACAGTCGAGCAAAATTAAGATAAATAGAAACAATAAATAACTGAGGGGCCTTATTCAATTAGCATAAACAGGTCCAGTAACAGAAAAAAGTTTCAGGGCATCTTTGTCTGTCATGCATTGAAGAGATTTAGCAAATATCCAAAACCATTGAACCCATGGGGCAATATCAGACTGAAGGGGACAGTAGTAGATCTATATATACCTGCACTTGTTTCTCTATGATCAGCTTTTGTGTTTTGGTTTCACTGTTTGAATGTGAGCAGGGGGATACCAGAGGCTCCAGCAGTGCCCCGCTGCCCTGCACAGAGACCCTCAGAAGTGACGGGGTGGGTCACAGACAGAAAACTGCTCAGTTCCTCCGGGAAGCTGAGAAGAACAGGAGACTGTGAGTTATACCTCTATTTACATTTCATTTTTCCAACGCTGAAATACAGAGGGTGGACAAAATGACAGCAAAACAAGTAATTTATGCTGTATTCAGTGTAACATATCAAATATCGTTGAATTCTGCCAAGACTTGGAACATTAAAATCAATTTGTCCTCAGTGATGTAACAGACACATTTAGCTTCACTGCTTCCTCTTCACAGGATTGAAAAGTTGGAGAAAGAGATATCACTGAGTGTCCAATGCAGAAAGAACGGCTGGACAGATGTGTGTGGAGAACTTGAAGAGTACGAGAAAGTGCTGGAGGACGAGAGACGTGCAGACAGTATGTGTTTGGTTGTCTTAGAGAAGCATAGTTTCCCCTTTACAGTTAAGAGGGAGGTTTCAAAACATTCAGAACATACTCAAAAAGTTTTTCACATCCTTAATTTACCTAATAACACAGTATGTTAAGATGCATTGTCAAACATGCATCAAGTCATAATCTTGATTTTTGTCTTCCCTCAGAGATGAATCTTCAAAAGCAACTGGTGAAGATTCATAACGGTGTGAGGAAGTTTCAGAGACAGCTCATAGATGTGAAACCAACTCCTGAGTGTAAGTTGAGCCACTCTGTTATTTGTGTTTTTACTATTCTGCTCTATTCATGTGGTCCAGGTGCTATTGCAATTGGATGTCCTGTAAAACTGCATTTCTGCTTGTGTTATAGTGATTGAAAGACTGAAAGAAATAATGTCAGAGGTGGAAATCTCCATCAACGCCCTTAAAGAGGAGCAGCGCTCATGGTAACAGGAAACACTGAGACAAATAAGGATCAGCCTGAACTTAATCATCAGGGAAAAACAGACAAAGATATGACGTTATGATCTTAAACACAACAGCCCTTCACAAAAATAGTGTGTTTAACTTTAGTATCTTTTATTTGATATCTGTTGAGATCATGTCAAAGAGGTGTCGACTCAATGCTGATTGGTTGTAATATTTTGTCCTTCATCAATAAGAAAGAAATCAAATAATGTTCTGACACCGAATAAACTAAAAGGTAAAAGTAAATAAAAAGTACAAGGATACGTAGACCACACTGGTGTTTATATCAGGAAGAATTATATACAAATATTATATATGATTATGTTTCTCTGCTTCTCTCAGCATTGAGGAGCTTCTGAAGGAGGAGAGGACGTGCAGACAGGAGATCACTGCTTATGAGAAGAAGATGGAAAACTGGAGCCTGGCTCTTAAATCAGAACCCAAACTACCCACAACTCCCTCTGTTAAAGTCAGTCTCTCCTCCCTTTTCCCTCCTTTCTGTATTTTCATATCAATGAAAAGAAGATGGTATAATCTGTGGGATCTTTTTTTTTTGCTCCTGTCTCTTGATCATTCATCACTTTATGTTTTCTATAAGACCAAACCTCCAGACAGTGATGTCCCTGCAGAGGTCAGAGCACTGGAGTCTTTCCTGCAAAAGACGGGTGGCCCTCATGGAGGCTGGGACCAATATGACCACCAAGCTTTCCTCAAAGTAAGACACTGCTGTCATTCCTACCCGATAACGTGTGTTGTAATAATGGACATTCTTATTTCTCCTGTCACCAATCTTTCAGCTCACAGTGCTCCATGTTTGGCCTCAGGCAGCTACAACAGATGCTGAGCCAAAGTTCAACTCCTGCAAGATTCTTGACTGAATTACTCATCTGTTGGATTCACAGGTTTGGACAAAGCACAGTGGTCATCCAAGCTACAGGAAAGAGGCAAAACTTTACCTGCCTGGTAAAACACTGGAGGAGATAAAGCAACACGAGGACTGGCACCAGGAGCTGATCAATCTGCAGGACAGAAAGAGAGAGGTAGAGAAGCTGAATGAACAGACAGTTTGTTGTTTCAATAGGGAAGCAGAGCTCACTTGGAGAGTTACATGGTGAAATAGTAATGTTAAAGTCACACTCACCCACTAACACACATTCATTTCACATACATCTATAGGTAGCACTTTATCTATCCCACACCATTGTTTCTAATACGTGGTATACTGCCTTGCTGTGCTCAGGCTATTCAGCGGTGGAAAGCCAGCAAGCATCGGGAACGTCAGAGCCGGATACAGAGTCAGGAGGAGGCAGAGGAGGCAAAGAGGAGGGAGAAGGTGGTCAAGAGCCAGGCCCAGCAAAACAGGTGAGCTGGAAATGAAAGACTGAAAGAGGAGGTAGCACTTACATCGATGATCTTGTGGGCTTCATTCGCTCATGTTTCATTCTCCTCTGTTTTAGGACTGAGGAGGAAAAGAGGGAGGCAGCGCGACAGTTGGAGGTGTGGAGGGAGAAGAAGAGAAGGAAAGAGGAGCAGGAGGAGGAGCAGAGACTGGTTGAGGAGATAAAAAAGAGGAGACGGGAAAAGGTGCTTTTAATTGTGTGCCTTTGTGTTTTGAAGTATTGTGTGATCTTCAGTGTTCTACATGGAAATCAGTTCAAATACAGACTTGATGCAAACAGCTGTATCTTTACCAATCGATTTCTGTTTATTAGGAGGAACGTCGCCGGCAGCTGGAAGTGAAGCTGACAGTTGAGGAGCAGCTGCGACTGAGGAGAGAGGAAGAGGAGGAGCAGGGGAGGAGGAGGAGAGAGGAGGAACAGAGGGAGATTGATGAGAGGAGAAGGGAGGCAGCAAAGGGGATCAAACGCTTTAATGAAAGGGTAAGAAGTCTGGGAGGAGACATCCACCCACACGCCTGCTGTTTACATGGGTGCAGTTGTCACACTGAGATTATGTGTTGGGAGGTTGTGATATGATGTATTTTAGGGATGTGGGGTTTTACTACAAAGTTTAGTGGTGTGTCAGTTGTTGTGTGAGATATAAAGTTTATCTCTGCTTTGGTCATTTTCTGCAGGATCTCCACAAGTTAGAGGAAAAACTTCAAGAGAAACAACTGAGGGAAAAAGAGGAAGAGGAAAGACAGAGGAGAATCACTGTTAAGTTGAAGGAAAAGGTAAAGGTTATACAGTGAACAAGTCAGCCCCATCCAGGAAGATCTCACAACGAGATTAATTATAAAATTGTTGTCGTTGTCGATTAAAGAAATGGTTGTTTATTTCTTCCTTAGGTTGATTGTCACGTCAGCAGAGACCCCTCCAGGCTCACACGTCCCACTAAGGGATGGGAGGAGCGAATGAAACACGTTGGACCTTCAGGAGAAGGGCCACTGCTGCAGGTGTTTCACAGGTCTGATCCACTCTGTGTTTTTACTGGGTTTTGTGTAAAATAAATAAATGAATATATAGGAAAGAGGCAAATATATATATATATATGTAAAGAAATAAATCTTTTGCTGAATTACTGAAATCCTCTGTCATTTTTTTGCAGAGCTGTTCCCACTTGGAGACAAGGCCTGTGAAGACAAACCGAAGCCACCGGTGTCAACCTCCAAGCCTTTTATCTTTATTTGAATTTACTGTGTGCTGCTGTTTGAACTCTCATGCAGTGTATTGATTTTATTTTAAATTGTTATTCTTACTAAGTATTTTAGATAAAAGCTTATGTAAATTCCACAACATATGACCTAATTAAATCAAGTATGTACTGTATTAAAGTGAAATTTTGAGATACATGTACATTACTTGAGCAATGTCTTTTTTTAGTACTTTTATATTTTGTGTAATATTGTAATACTTACTCCGCCATATTTATTTGACGAAATTTGTTTCTAGTTACTTTATTGAAGCTTATAAACAATGATGCCTTGAGAAAAATAAAACCACCTAAACAAACTATTTACAAGTACTGCAAAAATACTAAAGTGCTAAAATGTGGATTATTTATATATAATGCATTTTGACCCATTGAATTTAAGGTGTCTTGAGGTACTGAGTATTTGAAAGGGTTATATATCAGTATTCCTTTTTTTATTGCTACAAACCCATCAATCAAATAATCCATATTATAATATATGATATAATAAATAAATGATTATAACTCAAACTTTGAAGCACATTTTTGTTATTGTTACGTTTACATTTGTATTAAGTTATTAAGCTGGAGCTCTACTTGTAATTGTTGTTTAAACAGTTTGGCATCAGAACTTCTCTAAATAATGAATTATAATGTTTTCATTAGGAACCTCTGATCGTTACTGTCACATTTTAATTTGAAAAGCAAACGTACCGGAACAGGTTCCTCATAGGTGCGGATACAAAGATGGCGGAGGAGGAGAGTCGGTGTGAAGAATTTGAGCAAATAGACTTTTTACGGGACCGACATGTCCGGTTCTTCCAGAGGACCCTGCAGGTGTTACCGGAGAGATACGCCTCGCTGGAAACAACCAGGCGAGTTGACTGGAATGATGAACGCGGCTCTGGTTTCCATATGTGTTGTTGGGGAACTTGATTAGCATCCGAGCTAGCTGCGGCTCTCCTTTGAATGGATGGAGGCTAGTGCTACTTTAGCTTAGCGTGCTAGCTAACAGCAGCCAGGGTGGTGAAGTTACTACAGAGCGACTGGAGAAAAACAGGAAACTCTGGTGTTCAGCGGGTCCACGACGTCCTGTGACGATTAGCAACCATTGTTTTATATTAAAAAGAAAAAAGCCTTGTTTGATATTGAGCTCAAAGTGAAATGGACGGTTCGGTTGGTGAAGTTCTTCATCTGTAAACTTAAGCTAACTCCTGTTAGCTCGGCTGCCTCCACCCACTGACCACAACTGACAGCTAACACTTAGTTACTCAGGTTGATTTAACCCTAATCATTCATCATCATCATCATCATCATTCTGTCTGACACTGCAGCCATATTCACTACAGCTCCATCATTATTAAATAAGTAATAAGTATATGATTGCTTTCTGTCTTCTTTCCAGGTTAACCATTATATTCTTTGCCCTGTCTGGTCTGGATGTGCTGGATGCCCTCGATGTGATCGACAGAAAGGTCATGATTGAATGGATCTACTCTCTACAGGTTTTACCCGCAGAGGATCGTAAGTTTGTGAGCGTCTCACTTTTCCAAACCTGACAGTTAAATAAGCTGAGTTTAACATTAACCTATGTGGAGGTTTGCACCACAAGTATTCATTGCAGATAAGAATGACATTAACATGAAGCAGTAAAAGGTTGGAAGCTGCAAACTAAATCATGAGTAAGTTGAATGCAAGAATCTTAGACACACAGGTTTTAAAGAAACAGTTGTGACCAGAAGGGCTGTCGGAGAGTGTGTACCTCAGCCAAGGCCCATTATGATTGAAACCAAATTTGAATTCCCTAGATCCAGACTTTTATTTGTATCTGCATCAAATTGCACTCACGCATACAAATCAGTTATGTCTGAAAAACATGCCTGATTTGTTTTCATCAAGCATCACAAATTATTATCCAAGTCCACGGAAATGTTGAAAAATGCCCCAAACGTTAAAAACTGACTTGTACTGCATCTGTCCACCGGTTCTCATGGTAGTCTGTCAATTAGTAGTCAAGTAAAAAAAAAAAACAGAAGAAAATATAACGTCCTTAGCAGAGTTAAGATAATGAAATGTGCCAAAACAAATCCTCAGTTTAAAAACACAAATTAAATTGGCTCTTGGATCTTGTGCCTAATTTTTCCAATCTAGCACAGAAATTAAACTACTCAAGAAAACAAATTGAAAACACTGGAAGCCTGTCAACTTTAATAACAATTCCCCTGCTGCAAAAACGAGCGCTGTTAGACTGCGAGGAAGCTGCATCAATAAAATTATCATGGTTTTGTCTTTTTCAAAAGGATTTTGGATTTTTCTGACACTGTGTATGGAAAGGAAATCCTAGTATTGTTTTTTTAAGAAAGACTGAAGAAGAAGAAAGAATCACGGTCATAATACATTTTTGAGAAATTGAGGCTGGCAGTATTGAAGCTAGTTAATGGATGCTGCTCTAATGGTCACGCTGCGTGCACACACTCTGAGATACACAGTTTATTTCCTGGGGAGGAAGCTTAATTGGGTGAGTGGTGTGTGAAATCAAGAGAACCCTAACAGATGAGTCTTTAACTCTCCCTTCATATATTCAGAGACACTAAATCCACTGTGCTTTAGAAAGTGGTTGCTTGAGCTTGTGTCTTTTAGCCAAATGAAGAATCTGCAATTCAACACCTTAACATGCCAAGAAGAAAGGAATGAGAAGAAGTGTTTAAGAGCAGATTTGACAGCTTTGTATGTATGTATATGTGCTGTGCTCTGGATTTTGGCTCATGTGTGCCATTGTTCTTGATGGATTTAATTTCACTAATATGTGTGCATGTCAATCTATGACTTGACATGTGGTTAGTTTTGTCTCCCTCCACGATTGTAGAGGCCAATGCATGAGTGAGTGCATGTGTTAAGGCTCAGGTTTGGTTTGGGTGTAGGGTGTTGTTTATTTTTCGTGGATGTGGTTTCTATGTTGTCCAAGGTGTGTACAAAAAAACCTAAACTTTAAAGTGTTTGTGTGTAAATAAAACAGAAGCTGAAACAGTAGGGGGTAGAGATGGATGGAAGGCAATTAGGTTACTGCCAACATGAGATTTTCTCCAAGCATTCATTATCATAAAGTTGGATTTGGAAGCAGACATAAGGCTCCAGGTGTCCTCTCCACCAAACCTGTTCCAACTGGGCCTCTTCTCATCAGGGAGAGTTGGACTCTAAATATTTAATTCATATATTTTTCCTTTCTCCTAACAAGCCACTTACGTGCCATCTGTTTGGATGCCCAGTTAGTTAATTATTCAAGACATCAACAGAAATCATGTTGGGATAGTCACACTTCATGGGTCTCATTTTTGCTGCTGCCATATGTTTGTAGCCGGGCTGGTTTCTTGTCTCAGATGTGAGAACTCAGCTTCAGAGGCACCTGACGTTTCTTTGTGTGTGAGATTTTATTTGTTGAGGTTGAGACTTTTAACATTTGTTGATGCTGTCACATTGACTTTTTGCAAACTTAATTGTGATATTTTGGTTTTTTAAATGAACAAATCTGTGGTCTATAGCCAATAACTCATAATTACTAAATAAGATAAAGTCAAAAAAAGTAAATTAAAAATATAAAACTAAAATCCCTTATTTACAGAACTATTCAATTGTATTGTCTCCCTGAGTGGTGTTTTTTTTTTAAATGAAATAAACAGTCACTATTATTTACATATTTACTTTAATGAAAACATAGATGAAATTGTGGAATTTTCTGGTTCTAGGTGAACAACACAAAAAGCGTTAACAACAGTTTGTAGTACATTGCACAAATGAAGGTCTTATAGTCTGCAATACTTAACTTGACACCACAATATTGACCTTACAAAGCTTTATCATGTGTTGAAATTGAATTGAGTTTGTCTGCCTGGTTTTTTGTGCTGTTTGCAGTATCATCTAATTTTGCACATTGCATCCTGCTTTTTGTGTTGTTCCTATTTCAGCCACATGGTGGCAGCAGCAGACTTAATTCACAGCTAGTAGATAATTAAGTTCTATGTCTTTGTACCACCTCTGCTGAAGGTCAGTAAACAGCTTGAGACCTAGTTTGTGAGACAGTAGATTATGTTCCAGTTTCTCGTGATTACCCCTTTCCTGTTATTGTCTTTCTAGAATCAAACCTCAGTCGTTGTGGGTTTCGAGGATCATCACATATTGGAATTCCTTACAGCACTAAGGTACCATCCCAACAGCTGTAATATTAGCCACAGTGATGTTGTGTGAATATATTGTTCATATTTTGAGTTTCAGCTAATATTACTCAGAGAGTTGTGAATGTTAGAACAGTACAAATTAGGAAGTTCTTTTGTTTTGGATCAAGTTTTGTTTTTCCTCTTAATAATATCAAATTTTTAGGGTCCAGGTGTCCTCCATCCATACGACAGTGGCCATGTAGCTATGACCTACACTGGGCTGTGCTCATTGCTAATACTGGGAGACGACCTGAGCCGTGTTAACAAACAGGCCTGTCTGGCTGGTCTCAGAGCACTGCAGCTGGAGGACGGCAGGTCGGTACACATGCACACAAATTTCCTCTCACACTCTGAATCAGTTATAACCAAGGTAATATGAACACTGACAGTCTTAATTAAGATTGACATTAACTCACTTTAGGTTCTTCATCAGTAGTTGTGTGAATTGTGGGCATAGTGTAAATCATGTCTGGTTGAAAACACAATATATTTGATGCAACTTCAGTCCTGAATATAAACAGTCAGGTGGTTGCCTGATGTTTCTGTTACTATTGTGTTTATCTGTCTCTCCTCTGGTAGTAATCTGTCTGACAATCTGTCTTGTGTCTTCTTGCTTCCAGTTTCTACGCAGTGCCAGAGGGAAGTGAAAATGACATACGCTTTATCTACTGTGCAGCCAGTATCTGTTACATGCTGGATGACTGGTCAGGCATGGACATTCAGAAAGCCATTGAGTACATTAGAGGAAGTTTGGTGAGTAGATTTTAAAATGATATTTCAGGCGGACAAAGTGCTTGTTCCCCCCCCCCCTGTTAGAAAACAACCACAACCGCAGTGGGACAATGGGCCACCCACCTTCAGGAGGTGGCACAGTGCCTAGAAATACTGAGCAGTGCATCATGATCTTAAAGCTGCAGCAGAGGTTTATCCACCCCACCAGGAAACCAAAACAAGCTGCAGGATTATGATGTGGCACTCGAGTGATATTTTTGTCAGATTGTTGAATGATGTCTAACTCAACCCATACTTAAGCCTCAGTGTTTGTTTTTCTATCAGACGTGGGTTCGACACATGAAAGCTGGGATTGTCTTCCTGCTCATCATCTCAGTACCTTGCACAACCCAGCTCCTCAGAGACTCGGTCCCATTTACTAACTAAACCTGATCTTATTTTAAGATTTTCATTTAACACAAGAGTGTTTCATTACATAGTTCCTTGGGTGTTTGCTTGGATGTGTATGCAACATACCCTCTGTCTGTTTTCACACATACACTAAGAAACAAAGAGAGAGAGATCCGTTAATTAATTAGCATATAACTGTAAGTCATAACTGAAAACTATTTTTATCCATCAGCCACATACTAGTGGGTGGATTTCAAAATGTCTTTGGTAAAGTGGGTTAGTTGCTGGTGAATGTAAGTATACAGAATTCATTTGTAGGCTTTGCACAGTAGGAAAGTTTGAGCCACGCTTGCATGGAGCCATGTGTCCATTTACTGACCCTTTTTGTTATAGTCTGATCAGACCTGACACACAGACAGAAGAGAGCTTAAGTTTTTCCCAAGCGACTGCCATCCATTGTGAAGCTTGTGTATTTTTGTAGGAACCAGTGCTCATGAAATTACTTACAAACCTGTCATAGTGTCCAGGAAAAAATGGTTTTTCTAATTTAAGTTTTTGACTTTTGCAAGTTCATGAAATCTTTAGTCATCTTCTTTCTTTGAACAGTAATAACCAGGTTCCCATGTGTAGACCAAAATACATTTTTAGAGCTCCCTCCTCCTGGTTTAAACTGATGTACAAGTAAAATCTTTCTGGAGCCATTACCACTCATTTCACATTTTGTAGTCTAATGAAAGTGGCACTCAGTGGTTGCAGATATCTAATGAGGTGAGTTTAAACTAAGAGTGTATTGTAGTAACATATAATAAATCAGTCAAATGAAAAAAAAAACAAGGTGTAACATTCTTTTAACGGGAAAAGAAAAAAGTAGAAACCTCAGGAAGAGCCACATCCCTCTCCCAGGACGGACTACAAATAAAACTTAAGTGAATAATCGGAAAGACACGCAGCAAAGGGACGACTCTGAACTGAACCTGTGGCTTCAGTTCAAACCATCTTACCCATCATTTTAAAGCAGAAGTCTGCTGGCTCCTTAGAGCTTCGTTACCCAGGATGAGATTATGTGACTTTTTTTTTTTTTTTTTTTTTAAAGCCAGTGAAATATAAAAACTATCAAGTCACCATGCTAGTCGATGACGTATCCAATTGCAACTTGAATTTGACTTTTCTTCCAACTAGATGTTTTCCTTTGTTCTCTCCACAGTCTTACGACAATGGGTTTGGCCAGGGAGCCGGGAGAGAGTCTCACGGTGAGTCTGATCAGTTTCTAATTGTTTATACGTGGTTGCAGCTGACAGAGATAAGAATGTGAAATCTTGCTGCACATTAGCAGGAATAAAAAAATAACACATCTGGCAGCAGAGATTTAAAAGTCTTGTGTATAAATAGTGATTTAGTTTTTAATTTAAAAGGTTAATATCAGATCAAAAGGTTTGTCGCTGCGCCGGTAGTGTCATGGTGGAGGGCATGAAAGTGGCTGATGGGAAGTAACTGGTTTAAAGGATTAGCCATTAAAATCCATCTCTGTAGATGCTTTGTCCTCTTTAATCCCTATCCGCTCAAATTAAACCGTATTATTCTGACACAAAAGTCTCCATCTCACATACGCTCACGTATTTAAAAGCACTACTTGGAGCATGTCCTCTGTCACCTGTTTGAGGCAGTAAAGGTAGCATTTCCTGTTAGACTGTGAGTGCATAAATTAAATCTATGAAATTCAAACCACCTCTGGGCTGATCCTAGTGCAGCTGGTGATTTCCCCCTTTGTGATAAATTCAACTTGTGTGAATAAAGGCTTCAGTGGGACTCAGCTCTTTACTGTAAGCGAACTTATAGTTTGAGGGCTGATTACATATCAGTAGAGATATAGAGAAGATACCAGATACAAAGAGAAACATTAAATAAGTAACACAGAGAATAAGAAAATTGGAAATAAAACAGTGACAGTAATACTTATTTTAATAACGGGCAGACCAGGAAAGTCTTCAGCAAAATTCATTCAAGTTGCACCAAATTGCTCAAATTCACAGATATCAATCCCATAAATGTGCCTGAGTTTGTTTTTTATCTAGATCCATGCAATATTCCCTGGGAAATTGGTGAAAATGTCCAAAAGACACCCCATCTCGCAAAATCCTGGATCCGTCCCTTTGTCCAGATCCTTGCCAAAATTTTAATGAGTTCTTTCTTGGCCCATGTCCCATCCTTTCACCAGGTTTGGTAAAAAATCTGTTGAGCAGTTTTTGTTAAATTCTACTGACAAACAAAAAAACAACCAACAAATAAACAAACAGACATGGGTGAAAACGTAGCCTCCATGGCAATTACAGGTAATTACAACCAGGAACTGACATTTGTCAAATTGCAGTTAAGGGTGTAAAAGGGCTCTTTAGCTCCTCACTATCTGTTCTTTTCATACATCTCAATGTGTTTTATTTTGTTTTAAATCATATAAAATGGTATAAATGTACATTTAAATAAATAGTTTTAGATTTCGCAAATTTTGGTCTGATTCAGATCTACATTTACTCAGTCTCTGCCTCTGCCTCAAGCAGACAGACAGTAAACAAGACACGGTTGACTGAAGGGGACGGTAACATGTCAGCAGATTTACACCCCTGACCCACAATCTTCACCCCACCTTGGCTGTTTCCATCCCTCACACATGGACACATGCAGATAAGCAGCCAGGCATAGTGGAAATGTTAAGGGGAGGGTTTGGTATAAAGGTATGGTGATATTGAAAGCTTGGGTTGTAGCAGATGATGGACAGATGCTTCTTGTGCCTGTACTGATAACAGGTTGTCATCAATCAACAAACACATTCATGTTTGTGTGTCGTTCACTTTGAGGATGTGCTGCTTTCAGTTCCTAACCTTTAAATTTAAAGCTACACTATGTACATTTACCAAGCAACAGCGTCCACTGCAACCATATGTGGTGAGTCATCGTTTGGACTCTGTGTCCACGCGATTAGGTGTTTTTCATGTAGAAAAAAACAATGCCTATCAATCTCTTGGTGAGCTCTGACTGCATAGTCCCTCTCACTGAATTGAAGCACAACTGGGTCAGCAGTTAACAGTGGATATTACCCATGATCCTTGATATTTTAAAAGTTTCCTCAGTGAATATTGGCAATAAACTCTGGTTTTAAATTACTCATACCCACTCACCAAAGTTACATAGAGCAAGAACCGATGTTCATTGCCAAGTCAATGTAACATCAAAATAATGTTGAAGCTGCTATTTTAAAGTAAAAGTTGCTTAAATGTTGCTTTGAAATTCTGGTGATTCAATCCATGACATTAACCCAAATAAAATGTCAACAGACACCTCTCAGTTATTTTGCAGCCAAAGCCGACGTTTTCCTCCTAATCCACGTTTCTGTGTATTTCTATGAAGCTTAAGATCATTGGTCCTCAGGAAAGGTGGTACATAAGTAGCAGCATGCGATCAAGTTGTTGGCAGTCAAAGGGCCTACATGCCGACACACCCTGCCTCTTTACTGCAGCGCCCTGTAATCTTCTAGTTGTCTGGCATCTAAACATGTCAGGGTAAACCACTGGAGCTGCTTTCCAACTTTGATACATTGTCATAAATCAGCAGCTCCATTTTATTGGATTAATTTGTGTTGTGCATGATCCACATCTACTGTGTGTGTGTGTGTTACACCTGCGTTACACCTGCTTGCTTGTGTGCCCAGGTGGCTGGACATACTGTGCCATAGCCACTCTGTGTCTGATGGGTCGTTTGGAGGAGGCGCTGAGTCAGCGGGAGCTGGACAGGATCCGGCGCTGGTGCATCATGAGGCAGCAGAGCGGCTTCCACGGGCGTCCCAACAAGCCTGTAGACACATGCTACTCCTTTTGGGTGGGAGCTACGCTAGAGGTAAAGTGGTGGAACAGACAGACATGTTCACAGATGCACTCTTGCATGTGTTTAATTGTTTAGTTCATTTAAGGTTTTTAGCCCTGATTTTCTGCACCTTAGTACAATAATCTCATGGGAGGAGGGAGAGGTTTAGAAAACTGCTGACGAGCATTGAATATTAAGCAGCATTTTTGATGAGAGAAATATTTTTACAATGCCTAAACCACCGTGCATACACCCCAATAAACCTGTGAACAAACTTTTCAGCATGTGGGTCATAACTATGCCAGGGGTACATCCATGCACACACGATCCAGAAAAGTGAGCTAAGCAGCTATGAGTAAGCCAGGGTTACACACACACTCGTGCGTACAGGAACAGTGAATTATTGGGTCAAAATTGTGCCAGAAGGACAAATGCACACACTAAAACAAAATATATGTTTCCTGCAAAAGAGCAGTATATCAAACGTTTAGGTTAACGTCACTTTAGTATCTGTTTAGATGCAGAATATGAAGATCATGGATAACAGCAGCACACTTTTGAAATTGAATCCAATGATGTCTCCCCCCTTAATCAACATGCTCTGCATCTTTATAGTTAAAATGTGTTTTAATTTGTTGAAACAATTGATTCAAAGTAATTAACCACTCAGATTTACATTCTCTCTCTTTTCCTTCCTTTTCTCTCGCACACTGTGGTCCCAGCTGTTAGATGTGTTCCAGTACACAAACTTTGACAAGAACAGGAGCTTCATCCTGTCCACGCAGGATCGGCTTGTGGGAGGATTCGCCAAATGGCCGGACAGCCATCCAGGTAAATGATTTGACTTGCAGATGTGAATGTTTCTGGAACATCTTGCAGTAAATGCTCACAGTCATTAGATAGAGTCCAAATAAGAAGACACTATCAGAAAGACAATTACAGAACACCGCCATGCGTATCCTTTTGTGGATGTATTGCTGTTATTGTACCTGTAGGGGATTCTCTGTCAAAGTAAGAGTGACACTAATCTTATGAACATTTTGAATGTGCTGTAAAGACCACCTGGTGGAAACAAACAGCACAAATAGACCATGTAGAGGTTGTTGTTGAACATATTGCTGCTGTTTATTTTTCAGTAGCTTCAAAGAACTTGAATCAAGCACAAACGATGTCTGAACTGAGCAGTTTCAGTCTCTTTGTCTGTTTCCCTATGTCAGATGAGCGGTTTTCACCCTGCCCTCCACAGGTGCAGAGAGGTCAGGGTGGAGTTTTGTTGAAATTTCACTTTGAATGGAAAACCTCTAGTAACCCTAAACTTCAATGGTGCCCATGCTTGTGTGTGTGTGTTAGTGTGATGTGTAATTGATGAGGTTATTGTGGATTGGCAGCCTGAGGACACAGGAGATCGAGCTCCTCACGTTACAGGAACAGGACAGGGAAGATAGGCGAGAGGAAACAATGAGGCGAAGCAGATGCTGCATTGACAAAGCCTTGTAAATGCACAACAAGATGTTAAGGAAATAAAGGAGCGCTGCTACAGTATGGGTACAGATAACATTGGACTTGTCTGTACTCAAACAGCTGAGTCATGCACTGGAACTGGTCTAGGGAGATAGAAAGGTAACAATACCACAGAACAAAAGATGGTGCTTTGTATTCGTCAAGCAGATCTAGACCAAAAATACTCAAATGTACTTTGAAAAGAACAGTTGTCATAGTGTAGACACAATAGATTCGATTTCAGCCCGAATGAATGCAAGCATTAAAATCAGATCCACAGATTTTGCCATTTCCATGACTTCATAGCTTCACTATCTTGATACATAAGATTTCCAAGTGATGAACCACAAATCCAAACATAATTAGAACTTGTATTTGCCATTATTGTTTAAGAGTATTGATAAATTATTAGTTTGGCAATTTTCTTTGTTGAAAATTCATTCCCTGATCAAACTGTGTAATTAACAACTGTCACAGTTCAGTCATCATGACCAAAATTATGTAGCTTAGTTTTCACAGTGAAATGCTTCTACGATGGAGGATATCACATCAAATTGAAATTAACCATCTTAAAGTGGCTAATATCAATATTTCTATATGACGGTGAATGAAATGACAGTGGAAACACTGCTAGCATCCTCATAGTGAGAACAGCCAGAACTTGGGCCTGCTGGTGTTGGTAATTCAACTTCATTGCTCACAGGTTTTCAGCGAAATTATATCTTGATCGTGAATTTCTGTCTTAAAAATTGAATGGGACTTTTTCCGGCCATTTTGTTTATAATTGCCATACATCCTGAATATCCTCATGGATTAAATCTCACATTTAATTTAAGACTAATCCACACATGTTCAACCTTGAGTGTAAATCCTTATGGACCCTGATTGATGGAGCTAATGGCTCTTTGATTGATTTTGAAATCTGTGTCCAATCATCTGTCATTTCATTATAATTCAATTACTGCTCCATTTACTGGCCTGTACAGCTTTTACGCAGGTCCCTGGGGAGGGAAGGGGCCAACAAATGTGCATTATTTATAATCTACTTAAAGGAGCCGTACAACAAAAACAGTGCCTCTGCATAGCAGTGTTCTTATTATGTGAAATGAGGTTATTGTTTTATTGATTCATTAATGGAAAGTAAGGTGACGTGTCATGTTTGTGTAATAACTGATCATCCTGGATGCAACAGACCTGTCACATGCAGGTGTTTCTACTCTGATACATTTTAAGATCTCTGACCTAGTTTCTCCCTTTTACCCTCCTTTCTTTCTTTCATCCCTCCCTATGCTCCCCGTTCCTTCCCCTCTACCTCTTTCTCTCCATTTCCGGTCCACCAGACCCCCTCCATGCCTACTTAGGGTTGTGTGGCCTGTCTCTGATTGGAGAGCCCAGCCTGAGGAAGGTCCATCCAGCTCTTAACATCACCCAGAGAGCCTTTCAGCACCTCCAGCAGCTGCAGCAGACATGGAGGGACAGCACAGGCAGCTTCAGCAGACAGAACTGACAGCAGGACGCTCCGCAGCTTCAGTCAGGAACAGCTAAGAGCGGTCAGTCAAAGGCAACTGGAGGTTTTCTGCGTGACACTTAAGTTACACAGCTGTAACTTCGCGGAGAAACATTTCTGTTACACAATCTATGCCACACTTTTTTGCTGCCTTTTTATTAGTAGACAGTAGTTAATGATAATGTTCATTGTGGTTTGTGGGAATAAAAATATGTGCCAGAGGAGTCAATAAGAGTCATTGGAGACTTGAAGAAAATTCCAGATGCCTCAATTTTTGCTAAATCTTTAGATTATAGTGTCTCCTGATCCTAATCCTCACCATCATAGTCAATAACACAAACTACTGTTAACTTTCCACTAACAATTGATTCACTTCACATGGATCCTGGCAGTCAGTGTATTTCCAATGAGGAAACATCTAAATGATCTTTTTAGTGATTCAGGCTGCTCTGATTTGATGTGACTACGCACTAGATAGATTGTTAATAAATTAGGAACTTATCTTCTACATGAAAAATTAGTTTTTCCTCACAAACCAGTAAAGCCCCAGTGGTAATTCCGGAGTGAATAATTTCTAAAAGTCATACATTCTCATACAAAACACAAAGGCACAGTCCTCCAGGCGGTTTATACAGTGTTTTTTTTGTCTTCACCTGCCCTTGTAACATCTCCATCCTTACATTGCTCTTGAATTCTCAAAACCCTCAAGCTCTTCACTCCCAAAGGAGTTTCTCTCTTCAGCATCCTCCAGTTTCATCACTGCAGGCTCTGCTCAGCGATTAAAAGAGATTTAAATGATAACACATCTCCTCTGAGGTCAAATCTATGTCTGTTGGTAGGGGAGAAAAATCTAAACCCCTTCAAAATAAGATTAAAGTATATTTAGCTACAAGGCAAGGAAGTCTAATTTATTGTTCAAATTTTTCCTGAAGTCAATACAAAAATGGATTTGGCCTTAAGGGAATTAGTTAAGAAAGGAAAAATCCCTTCTCTTCTACAAGCTGGTAGCTGTCAGTTTTAGCAGCAGATCCTACCCCAACATCCCCCTGACTCCAGATCTGATCTATCCTCCTTCAACAGCTTCCATACTCGAGGCACGAGCTGGCCTGAAATCAATAGTAGAAAAGATGAGGCAGTGGTGTTGTAACTTGGGGGAATGTGTTCTTTTGAACAGCACTGGGGATTCAGTCAGTTTATTTTCAGAACAACAAGGATTCAAACAAAAACAGAGAACGATGTACATGAGCAGAATGTGCCACCAAGAGTCTGGACAACTGATTGGTCACATTGCTGGTCACCTCTTCTTAGTCCTTAAATTGTTGACCAAGGTCCAGGACTCTCCTCTCCGAAGCTCCACCCATTCTTTCCACAGATGCTTATCAGATTTAAAACCAACTTGAAGTTCATACAAGCCTTTGAGCTGATCCACATAACACATTTTTTAAAGGTTACATAATATTTAAAAAACTAACATAGCAGCCAACAACTATTTTCTATGTAAAGATATCGAGGAGTAAAGGCGTCCTTAGCAGAGAAGTCACACGCCCTCGGTGTATGTTGTGTATACTAGCTGTCATTAAGGATCTGCTGTGTTCAGGTTCTCCCACAACATTTACAGGAGCACCAACCAGTAGATTCAATGATGGATTCTTTTTCTTATCTCACAGAGCAACTTAAGTCAGTTTTTACTTGCGGTTGTGTTGACTGGGCTTCACAGCCCCCACAGACTGTATACATCATGGCCGACGAGATTGTTGTTTCAAACCAAGATGTTGCTGCTACAGTGCGACATCTTCCATCAATGAATATCATATCTATACATATATAACTTTTGAATCTTAATTAGATTATTGAAATTCTAAGCTGAGCTCAACCAGTTCCACTTATTATTAAGCTACACAGATTTCTCCAGCCCCCTGTGAAACCACCCTCTTTCATTATAAGACAGAGCGAACACCTGCTCCCTGACAAGACGATATCACAGCAGCTCAGAAATACAGCGGCCCGTCTGAAGCATGTTACCTTGTGGGACTGGAATAAAAATAATATATCCTTGGTGCCTTTCTTTCCACCGCCTAAAATAAAGCTGCACCTGGCTTCTTCTCATTTCCCGCCAACTTGCCCTCTTTTTTTTTTTTCTAAGACTTAGAAACCAGACCGGGCGGACCGAGGAAAGCAGAGAAGAGAGGAGGAGAAGTGAATAAATAAATAATTTGATCCATCTATTATTGAGAGTAAACCGTCGGAGGCTGGAATCTCCTCTATGAACCCCCAAACAAAGCTCCAGTGTAAAATAGCCCCCAGTTTTGTGCAGAAACAGATGTGTTTTTACCCAGTTGCATCTTGTATCAGTGTTTTATTTTAAGTTTGGCTTTTTGCTGAGACAATAGGCTTTGCTGCAGTTACTTGTGGGGATTTAGCCAACTTCTCTGCAGCTTTAATTCTTTACAGACATTTTATTTACCACAAAATGACCCGTTACCCCTTGGTGTAGGTAGGATGTCTTTCAGTGCTGCTGCCGATCTGAGCCTCTGACACACAAGTTCAACAAGATTTGCTGTTTAATTATTCATGGTTTAATATTCTGTTGTTTTTTTTTTTATACTTTGTTATGAGATAAAATCTGTCGAGTGGTGCTGAATGAACAAATGCACTGAAAAACAGCGGCTGCTTCTGCTTCAGCCACTGTGGAGCCAGATCTATTGAAATTAAGTGAGCATGTCTCTCATGCATCTTCTGAAGTGACTTTTACAAAGTGTACAATCTCCTTCTGCGGAGTTCTGTCCTCGGCCAAATCACGCTGCACGACCACTGATTCTAAAATGTGCCTCATGTATCATTGTGTTGGGTCTCTGCTCTCTGAATGCCCTCTAACTTCTGATTTCTGGCCATGTGCATCTCAAACATACGTAAATTGAGCATAACTAGGTTGCTTTTATCAAGATAAGTCCTGAAAATACATATTCTCTTTAGGTTAGGGGGAGGGAGACTGTAAACCTTCAGGAAGTGGAACGCCTGCTCTGTAAAGTGCCACCTTCACTTACCCAGACAGATGTACTGAAAGCTGACTGGTAGAAGTTGTTTTTACCAGAATCTCACTCTATCTCTCACATGTCTGATCGATAATGTGTTTCCAGAAGGCGGAAAGAATTCATTGTGGCAGAACCCATAAATGCTGAGTCCATTTTAAAAAGGATAAAAGATTGGATGGACGGATCTGCCACTTACCGCAGAGGAAGGCTGCATCTCAGCAGTTGTTGCATTACGTCTTTTTTAGCTGTGTCATGCTGCAGTCGATGCTCACGGCCCCACAGCATGAAAACATGTGGACTGACGCTTCACGCTTTACATGAGGCTGCAGTGCAGCTGTCCAGAGAGGATGGTTTGAGTCTTTTGAGATGCAGCTAAAACGCCACATGCGGCCGAACATTGTTCCTTCACCAACTAATATACATAATGTAAGAAGAAATGATGTAAGAAGAAATGTAACGAAGTTTATTTTTTCTATGCTTTGTAGAAATCTTCAGTGTAGATAAGCGTGTAAATGTATAAATATGTGTCTTTTATTGTGCAAGTGCTCAAGGTGAAAAAGAAAATGTTTACAGTGAAATCAGTGAGGTGGTTTTTGGAATTGGATATGCAAACGTTTGTATGTGATGAATGAAAGTTCTTCAGCTTTGAATTTGAGGAGGGTAATGTTGATTCTAGCTTGGCAGTGTATAATGTATTTATGGTGAATAAAAACACAGACTAACTTTTACAGTAGTTTTAGTTTCTCTGGGTTTGTTTGTGTGTCACTTACACATTTTGTGCATAGAGATCTCACATTTGCGTCTGGTATCAAGACTTTAAGTTGGATTAAGGTTGATTTATCACAGAAGAAATATGCAATAATGTAAGTAGAACATGTGGAGTAGGTAAAGGTAATTTGGTCTAATTAACAAAAACAACAGATCTACAATATTTTTTATTCCACCGCTTTTCAACACATTTAATTGAATCCCTATAAATATATCCCTGTAAAAACTTTTATTTTGTTGACTCATTGGATCTGAGTCATGATTAAACACACACTGGACACTATGTCCTTCAGCCATTGATCTTCAGTGACAGTAATGACTTGATGAAATGATTTATTATTTTATTATTAAAGTTAAATAAAAATGAGGTGGAGGCATCGTGACCGCATCTCATTAGAAATTGGATATGACAAAAATGCAAAAGATCCATCTCTAACATGAGCGTCCTGCAACATGCTCTAAATTCTTTCAGGCTGAGATTGGGTCTTTGTTTGTTTTCTACATGCAGTTGCAGCATCTTTGCTTAAGGGAGAAAAGAAAATGTGTCATCACTAATTTGATTAATGTGTTATCTCCCTTGCCAACTGAATATCTGTAAACGACTCAAGTCCTTATTTGCTCTCATGTTTTCGGCTCTGTGAAGCTGTATGACTCAAAAAGGATCTATTTTTAACTTTGCACATAACAACTGGTCACCATTTTCCCTAATTTGCAGCAGCAGCCCTTCATTTTTCTGCAGCGTGGATGAATTGCACTTTATTGAAACTCATTTTTTTTCCTGTTCTTTGTTAGGTCAGTGACTAACACATAATTTAAAGCCCTGGGGGAAGGGGGGGGGGGGGGTCCACTGGCTGCAGAGCTCACATCCAAACACACAGAGTGTCACCTGGGAGTTACAGCAGAGCACAGACTTCACTGTTGGCACTGATTAGGAAATGTGATCCTGACAAATGTGGAGCAGTAACACTCAGAAATCCAGTCTGGGTGTAGAGGTGATATAAAGTCAAACAGCACATGATCACAGTTTTCATTATTTTTCAAATATAGAGATTCATTTGAAATAGAATGATACTCTTCATCAAGATCCCAGAATTATTTCATGGGAAATCTGTGAAAATGCCATAAAAGAACATCTTGCAATGTTAAAGAAAGTGAAAAAAAAAATCTGAATCCACCCACTGACCTGGAATTGGATCTTCCCTGACCCATACCACATCCATCCAAGTTTCACTGTGATCTGTCCACTATTTTGTTGCTAAATAAGAAACCAATGCCAATCATAACCTCGTTGGCAGACCTCCACTAAGGCTAACGCCCTATCTCAACATGTTAAAGACGGTGAAGAAATGTTCCTGGATCCACCCAATTATCTGGAACCAAATTTTTATGGCTTCTTCCTTCATGTCATGCCGCACCCTTCCACAACACTTCATGGAAATCAGGTGAGTAGTTTTTGCACAATCCTGCTGTAATAATGTATAACTAAGGTTTCAGAATGTAATTTCATCCCCTGTGAATAGAACCAAACCCAGATTGTCTGGAGATGCTCCCTCAACAGCAGGCTGCCACTGTACTCTGGGTGTGGTGACAGTCTCCTGTTCGACAGACAGGTTCCACCAGTGTGGCACCAGAGACACGTCCTCCTACACTGCCACCGACCCGAAGAGGCCGAGTTGCAGAAAACCCAGACAAACACAATGATGACTCCCATTTTCTGAAAAAGAGATTGTTGTCAAGTTCCAGTGTTTGTCAAACACACGCAAACCCAGACGACACAGACCTCTGTGTTTCCATCCTCCTTTGTTTTAATGTTTCTTGGATGGAGCTGCTTTCACCACACAAGTCTACAAATACAGTGTTTACACCAAATTGCATCATGTGGCATGAATTACTCCTTTTTTTAAAGATCCACAGGTTATTGGATGAACTTGAATGTGCTTATTCTAGAGCTGTTCTTATTTAACTTGAATCAATTCTATTTAAACTCACTAATCAGTGCATGTTATTGATTATTCAGTCAAGTGGGGGGAACTGAGACCCACTGCTGTGGCTTTTTTATGGGGCAGTCAAGTGTCATTGGAGATATTACATTGCAGCTCTTGGCTCATCTTTGACCCAAGAGGATATTTAAATGATTGTGATATGTTGGATTTTTTTTTACATTTTACATTCTGCAGCTACAGAAGAGCCAGAGTCTCTTTATTTCTAAATTCTTACTATAATGCTTTTATAGTTCAATCGTTCTGGTTATAGATCTGTGAGAAACAGGTTTTATGGTTTCCATGAAGAGCACAACTATTGTTTTATAACTTAACATTTCAAGACGTAGTAGATTATTGTAAAACTCCTTTTTTATTATTGACTAACATTTATTATCTAGGATGACTTTGTCTCCTTGATGACACAGGACAATTAACACCAGCCAGAATTAAATGTGGATCAGACATTCATGGTTCCCAGATGATGAATCCTATACATTGTGACTTGACTAGCGATCCTGAGAGAAAAACTGAAATGTAGTTATGTGATGATGTCATTGATGAAAATGATATTGTAGCAATTATTGTTACTGTTCGCCCTGGAGTTTAAATTTTAGTGGTGACAGCTTTTCCCAAATGAAGCCATGTGGTTCCACTGAGGCCAGTTAACAGTGATGATAATCTCAGTGTTTGGTAGCTTTTGAAAACATTGCTCAGCTGCTGAGATGAGTTAGTTTTGTCAGTCTGCCAGTGCGTCCCCCTCCTCCTCCTCCCGCCCCTCCATGTGCTCAATGGGGTGGAATATGTCCGCATGAAGCCATGAGGCCATCTGGTGACGCGGAACAAGTGGCATTGCCAGAAAAAAATTAAAAAACAGGGAACCTAATCCGGCCTCACACATGCCGCTCCTCACATTCCGGCTCAGCCCTGAAAAAAGTCCATCTGAATCTGTCACATTCATGAGGCAACTGTTCCCAAACCTCCTCCCCCAACAACCACAACAACAGCAGCAAATAAAACTAACAAACAGTACAACACCAAGGACAACTGATAAAACAACACACAACAACAGCAGGGGACAAAATCACTGATAGATAGACTGACAGACAGATAGAGATGGAAAGATAGATAGAATGATGGGTGGATGACAGACAGACGAATAGATACATAGATAGATGGATGGATGGATGGGTAGATAGATAGATAGATAGATGGATGGATGGATGGATGGGTAGATAGATAGATAGATGGATGGGTAGATA